GACTAATTGAACAAATCAAATTAGTCCGGGATTGGCCAAGCGCTTAGGGTTGTCATCACTAAATCATCAAGGGGCCCACAAATATCGCCTTTATCCCTCTTAGGGTAAAAGGAACGGGTAAAATTCGACTGATATGCTTGCTCTTTTTACTCATCCAATCACAAACAAAAATATGTTTTATAACCCCAAGTTACTGGTGCGTTTACATGTCATCAATGTGCAACCGACTTGTAAACTACAGTATATGTATCTGTTTCAAGAATATAAGATATTATCGTCTCACAATCACTCGTGATAAAATCCATGAAGTGATTCAAATGAGTGTGTGTTTAATCCAATAATCAAATCTTATTACACGAGTACTCATAAACATTGCAGCAAACTTGTGCTATGTCTAAACACTTAAACAATATATATTCGGATTCATGACAGTCTTACCTCGTTACTTACTTCCAAAGTATGATTGACTGTGGGTGTTTGAATAATCTTATTATTCGGGAAGTCAAAACATGCGAAGTGAAACACAAGAATAATCTAATCGAATATGGTCTCAAAACTCCTGAGTATAAATAAAATACTTCTTATTTAATCACCATATTGATTATACATTATTCATTGTATAATGCTTAGATCAACCAACTTAATACTAGAATTAAAACAATAGTTATCCCATGCTCCAAGCATGCACAATATGTTTGCCTATGGTCCTTTCTTTTTGAAATAGATCAATTGAATTGCATCTTCAATGGAACTCATTTCATAATTCCAAATCTTTTTCATAAGTGTAACAATGCCAAATTCTTGCCACTATCAGAATGTGTTAGATTCTAAACTATCATGCAATGATTCCTTTTGTAATGTCGAGGTACAATAGTCACAAAGACTTTGCCAACGATATTACAAAGTATTCCTTTGGAGATTGTCAAAAGAACAATTCCATGGAAGTGAAGTCTCAAATTCAAAGTACATTCCTTTGAAGATCCTTCTTGCACAAATAGATTCTTAATATCCATCTCCCATTATGGAAACATTTCCATATATGCCATATAACAACTTATAATTAATAGAATCCTGTCTATTCATAATAATGTCAATATGGTCCATCCTTTAATATACTTCCAACTACAAGCAATCAATCCTTAGCGAACCTTAGATTGTCCTTGACAATTGTTTAATAACTTTAGTCATATCTGGTTCTAGTCCTCTTAATTCCCTAGGCATTTGGAAAATTAGAACATGTGAATATTATAGCACATGCAATTGATCCTATACTCGAAGCATATATGACACGATTTATAATGTCTTACATAAAGACATGATACTTGACTAGTCTTGTGCTATAATATTTCCATATATAGAATTTTCAATGTTGAAACATTTCGATCTGATATTCATATATGTTCATGACTAAGTTTGATTAAAACTTCAATCTAAACTTTTACATGTGAAGTGAAGTATAAGTATCCTCTCCCTTACCATAACGAAAAAACTTTGCAAATTAGAACTTTGTTTCCAATAACTAGTATTTCTAACTTGCAACACTTCACATAATAATCATGCTCCCACTATCATGATAATTACATTCCTATTAGCATAACAATTATGCTTCCACTAGCTTTGACATGTACCTAGAAATCCATATTTGTTATACGAGATGCTTCGATAACTCTTTATCTAAGCTCATACACCTTTTATTAGAAAGCTCATATGTGTGTCTAAACTATTTCATAACTTATAACAATAAGTCCCGAATATTCAAACTATTTGCCATTTCTCATAATTTGAACTATGAAGAGGGATGTCATAATCATAATCGAATTTGAGAACGCTATTAACACAACTGCTATCTCCTCAAAATATTATTAGTGAAAGCGTTTCCTCATAATCATTTTCATGAATTGGAGAGAAACCTTTGTCACTTAGATTTAATGGTGTATGTGTTCCTATCCATGTGAATCTTTCATTTCCAACCACTATCATAAGATAAGGTCTTTGACAAATTCAAACTCATATGGACAAAACTTGTTCAATCTTAATTTCCTGCCACTTGGCAGCACGAGGGCCTACCATGTCTAACAAGTTGTTGAGCAGATCACCCTTACTAATCAATGAACTTTCACTGATTAAGGTGCTTTGCCTTATGGAAACAATTGAGAACTCACGTGCATAGTCAACTTTAACTGGAATGAGCATAGAAACAAGAATATGTCAACACGATAGGTTACAAACCTCAAGTCGTGTGCTAGTGATAAACAATTTTTTTATTCTTGATTAGTTCTTTGAAACCTTTCAAGATCTTTAAGACTCCCACTAACTTCTTGACATATAAGATTCTCTTGTCAAGATACATTCTTTGACAACCAAATATTCAAGAGTTAGTGCATGTTCTCATTAAGTAAACACTTCATACAATTGGTCTTAATTGGTCTTTGTTATATCCAAGACATCACAACTACCATTTTAAAAATGTGCAAGAGTAAGAAAACATTTCTACTCCACATTTTATAATGTGTTATAAACCTACTTAAGACATGTCACTCATGGCACAATCTCATAGTATGACTCTAAGACTTGATTTTGGAATGAAGTATGATTCACCTTAATCATTTCAATAATTCCCGATTCCTTTTCTTAGCCATACAAGTGCACTAAGGTGCCCTTAGACAATTACTTGTGATATGGCTTTCATAATCATCAAGATGATCATAAAACACAATACTCAAGTACTCTCCGTTCCATTCAGATTGGAGAAAACTTTATCTTTCTGCCTAATTGATTCTTCCTATTCGTTCTACTCACTACTAGAAAAACAGCCTTTTACGACGCTCATTGCGCGTCATAAAAGGCTCAGACGACGCGCAAATGCGCGTCAAGGAAGGCCCTGTCATAAAGAGAGACGATGCGCTTTTGCGCGTCGTCTATAGACGACGCGCATTTACGACGCTCATTTACAACGCGCAATTACGACGCGCGTTTACGACACCCAATGCGTATCAAGGAAGGCCCTGTCATAAAGGAAGACGACACACATTGGTGTGTCGTAACCTTACGACGCGCGTGTTAATGACACGCAATGCGTATCAAGAAAGCCCTTGTCAAGAAAGGCCATGTCATAAATGAAGATGACACACATTTTTGCGTATCATAATTTTAAATGTTTAAAAAAAGTATTATTTATAGATTTACTAATTTTTAAATTAAATAATACATTAAAATTCTCACAATACAAAATAAAATACCATAAATAACAAAGATAATTCATTTCACTAATATGTCATACAAATAATTATTCCAAAAGTGAGTAAATGTTATAAAAAAAATGAACTCATTTATATACAATTGCATCATCTAGCTTACTATGTGCCAACAACTCTCTATGTGTTTACTTTTTCTTGAGTCTCGTTTCCTCCAAAGCTTCCAAATCATCTGGAGTTAGATGGATATCAGATATGGATAGTCCTTTACTAGAAATAGGCTTCACAAAGTCGCTAAGACTGTGCCTGCAAATTGCAAATCAGACATCCATCAGGTTCATATTAACTGTCTATCTATGCAAAAGTCTTATAAATGAAATAATGCCCTCTCAGCCTAAAAGATTAGAATGCCCAATGAAGTACTTATCTACCTACTTGATGGGCTATGCTGAAAATCTACTTTCGACTGTAGAAGTACCAATAAGTGATTGTATCACAAACATATAAACTTCTTAAGCCTGCCTGCTACTGCTAACAAAATAATTGTTTAGGGTTTAAGATTTTATTGTTTATAATTATACATGCGCAAGATAAGACCTATTACCATTGTTTCTCCACTTCGTGACTGATCTACAACCTAAATGTCATGTGTTGTTATTGTAGAGATGTAACTTCTAACTTTTTTTTCTTTAAGGGAAGAGGAAATGGAAAATGACAGACATATAGGGAAGCCATTGTGATTGTTAGTCCTCATAATAGCGGCTACATCAACAAATTTCACCACACGAGTGAAGTGACAAAGTTACAAACCTGTCAACTTTCACCAACAGCCTAAGGAAGGTAAATGGTCAAAACTCAAAACTCAAAACTAAAACTTGTTGTACTCATCAATGTAATTCTAATTGTAACTTGTAAGCAAAATAAAAGAAAAAACTTACTTTTGATATGAGGAGAACAAGCATGATAAGAGGTAAGAGATTTAAATTATTTGTATCCTCCCAACATTTTCAAGTGCCCATCCTGTTTCAAATCATGAAATGGAATGGAATCAAAAAGGAATGGAGTAAGAAAAGGTAATAGACTCTCTATATCGCCTTTTGAGATGCTTCTACCAAACAGTAGCATGACGGAATCGGAAACAACAGTCGTATCCAGGAGAAAAATAGAGTTCGCTTTGATCTTCTCATTAAAGACCAACCACGGGAATGGAATTCTCAAAGCCCGGGAATTAACCGAGTTCTATAGCATTAAAAAAACAAATTCAGATTAAAAAAAACTATAAGAATTTAGAAAAACAAACTTACCGAGTGTAAAAGCACCTGACCATCCGCCACGTTTTTCAGCAAGAATGAATTTTCATTATGCTGATGTCAACAAAAGCGAGTTATTATTTATAAAGAAATTGTTTAAAAACAAAAAGGAAAATGACTTTTCCTTCTAATAACTTATGTCATCCCACTTAATCATAAATACCAAAACTGCCCCTTGCTTTTCACTCCCACATATACTCAATAGTAGAAACTCAATGAGATTGAATCCCATGAATTCATGCAATCAGGATTCCAGCATCACATAGAATCCCATGTCTTTGGACTATAGCCTCTAAAGTTAGTGTACACAAGTAAATTCCAGTAGTCCTTTACAGTTCTCAGCTCATCCACTTGTGACTTGCAACTGATCATGATTACTGACTGTAACAAAAAGAAAATTTTATATTTTTAACAAAGAGACAGAAAAAGAGAACCTTTAGCAGCATCATATCCAAGGTCGGGGTTATCTTGCTCCAATAGTTTCCCAACAACAACATCACCCTCTACTCCTGCATTCGCAGCTACTGTGTACCGGTGCCTTCACATACAAAATCAATAAACAATAAAATATCAGCAACAAAAATAGATATACAATAAAACTACACTGCTAGCTGCTTTTTATTAGGAAGATGGGGGAATTACCTTGAGAGCATTTTGAATTATTTGAACACCAATCTTCTGATCAAAATTAGCTGTAATAAGATTATCAAGCTCCTTTGAAGCATATAGAAGAGCAACACCACCACCTATATTATATTGTATATTTTTTGATATCATTATCACAATTAAAAATAAATACTTAGTAAATAGCATGTGTGGACATGATTTAATCTACCTGGCACAATTCCTTCTTCAACTGCAGTCTTTGTAGCATTTAGAGCATCAGTAACTCTATCATTCTTCTCACCAACTTCAGCTTCACTCGCTCCGCCAATCTGACCAATCACAGCAACACATCATTTACATAAAAAAATTATTTAGAAATAAAACAAAAATAAGAATCGTCCCCTCAAAACGGCAACACCACCAGAATTTTTTGCTAATCTCTCTTGGAGCTTCTCCTTATCATAATCAGAAGTGCTCAATTTAATTGATGATCTCAACTGTAGAAACACAAAATAGTACATGTTAGGAAGCTCAGGTACATAAATTAAATATATTGTTAAAAAGCTACTGTAATACCTGTTCACATCTTTCTTCAATTCCTTTTTTGTCGCCAACCCCATCAAGAATAACTGTGTCATCCTTGGATATTGTAAACCTAAATGTAAATATGTAATGTTCCAAACATTATTACCATATATTGCATACATAATCTATTTGGGCAAACTAGAGTTGTAGATGTAAAAAATAAATGCTTACCCTAAAATTGATAAAAAGGTGTGCAACTCAGGGGACTAAAACTGATAAAAAGGTGTGCAACTCACGGGCCAAAATTGTATTTTACTCTAAAAAGTCATTGAAAAAGTTAAAACAAGGGCAAAACGATAATTTTAACAAGCTTACCTCATTAATTTATTTCGCTGATTTTAGAAACGCATGCCAAATCCGTAGCCTGAAGGGGTCTTTTCTTAAAGGTCTAAAAGATTCATCCGGAAGATCAGCTTTAATATCCACAAAAATTATTTTAAGAAACTGAAGAATTTCATAAGCTTTCCCAGTTAATTTTGGTAAAGACAAGCAGTTATTTCCGATTATACCCCCATGAACTTCACACGGTTTTTTTCCAATTATACCCTCAGTCTCACACTGATGAGTTGCTAATTAGTTGAAAATGTGTAGTGGCATGAAAAACAATGGTTTCAAGTAGGTCCCACTAATTCCAAACACTCACACCGGAATATTTCCCCAAATTTCTATTCCATTTCTGCCCTTACATTTGTGGAATGAACCGATGACCTGCACTGAAGTGCAACTTGACCCACAATGTGATCATCATTTAAATCATTGGATTTGTTCCTTTGCCATTTTTTAATGTTTTCTTTCAGTTGTTTCTCTTTTGCATCATCATCTTCCAGCCATTCACGTAGAGCCTCAATTTCACCATCTGATTCATAGCAAACCCATGCACAAGAAGAGATTGTCACGATCACATCCTTCTTCACACTCACACCTGTCATAAAACAATAAAAAAAATTATAAATAAAATTTAATTATGTTTCATTTTCTACCATTAACAGCTTCCTAACATGTAAATGGAGATAAGACTCAAACAGAGAGATGAGGCTTCATGGTACACCCTTTACCCTTCCTTATATTAGTTATGTTTAAATGCAAATAAATAAATAAAGACTGGATCTACTACTTTATGAGAGAATTCATTCCCCAATGTTTCATCATTTAAATGTTCATATCTAAGAATCTTGACAGCAACATGCTCACCAAGGTACTCTCCATGGAATCTTTCAACAAACAAAATAACTGATATTAAGATACTTGTAAGAATTAGGAATGCAATTGGAAACAAACAGTGTACACGTACAAATCACCACATGATCCAGATGCAATCTTTTCTCCAATCTTCAATGATGCTCTGTCTATTTCTGCATCTCCAAAAGTTGGTCCGCTGCAAATCGAGATATAAACCGACAGGTAAGGATCAGAACAGAAATTTAAGTCAAAAACCATAAGGAATGTCAATGAGGCAATACATCGAACACATTATGTGCACTTACAAACCACAAATGGAATCATCAACAAAGAAATAGAAAGAAAGGAAAGGAGGATTCATATCAGATAATGAGAAACAATGAAGATTTGGAAGCGAATTAAAAAAACACTAGATGAAGGCCGAATGAAGAACTACAAAACCATAACAAAAAAATCCACAGAAAATTGGATTGAAGAAGAGATGAAGAGATTGATCAATTACTTGAGGAAATCTTGTACCTTCTTAACTAAATTTACAATGAGGAAGGCGTGATTGGGAAGACGAGATGATGCTCTTGTGGTCGCAGTGAGGAGGAGAGAAGTGGCAGCGTAGGGAAGTGTCGAACAGGTGAAACAGAAGGAATCGTGCTCTGCTGATTTAAAGAGGAAAAAGTGCTTCACTCTCATTTATTTTCATAAAAACGTGCGCAAGCAGCGATTGGAAGAACTTGCGATATATACATATTTGATTGAACTTCCGATAACAACAAGAAGCGATTGGAAGAACTTGCGTATTCAAAATCTTATGGGAAAGTACTTGATTGTATATTTAAAAAATAAAATGACTTTTAACAAAAATTTGGAAAGACAAACCACCCAAATCAGAAAAAACTCTTACACAAATCAAACCATGTGATCTTGATAGAAAAATAAAAACTGAATACAAATTAGGGCTCACATAATCAAATCTCGAAAATGAAATCACCTTAAATAAAATGGTGGAGCAGGTATCCTTAGAGGATTTGAGTTTAGGTGACCGACGTTTGTCTCGGGGAAGGGACAAGAATCGGTAAGTGCCAAAAGGATATAGGAACGGAAGGAGGCGAGATCTAGGGTTCGAGTATGAGATGTGGAATGGTGGAGTTTCTGTTAAGTCGTGGTCGCCATAGAGATGTAGAATGGAAGGAGGCGAGATCTAGGGTTCGAGTATGAGAAAGAATTATTATAGAGTCGCCGGTGATTGGATATCATCAATCGTACTCCAGACTCTCAGATCCTTGGGTTCGATGGTGAAGGCGCCAACTTAGGATTTGCAAAGAGAAGGGAAAGATAGAGTGATCGGGCGGTGGAGATGTAGAAGAAAGAACGTGCAGTAGAGGAAGGCGGGGCAAGTTCTTGAAAAAAGCCCTAAAAAGGGGAGGCGGGGTTTTTAAGTAATTGGGATTTCATTTTTCCCTCCTGATGGAACGCGCTGCTATTAAAATTTATAAAGCGACACCCTTAAACGACACACGTTTTATTATAGGTGCCCTCCATGTTTTTTTAGACACTAATTCCAGGGCACGCAAAAATGCGTGTTTTAAATCCTTTAAATTTTAAGAGAGATAACATTATTTTTAGGGCACCCACAAATGCGCATCCTCTATCAGCGAGTGTCATTGTTTGCGCATCATTAAAGGTCTTTTTTCTAGTAGTGACTATACATTAAACTTTTTCAATGATCCAGAATTATACTTAATCTTGTAAGCATAACCATGTTTACCAAACATTTAGTAAAGCATGACGAATAGTCTTATCGTTCTTTGTGTTGGACCTGGACCAGTGCACAACAATGTGTACTACATCCCTTAGTCATTCACTTGACTCACATCTATATGTGAACAAGGAATTAGTCTTAATTTCCCAAATATGAAGGTTCCTATTCATCATACAATACAAGTTGCATGATTCCAAGTTTCCGTCCAACTGAAACTTGGTGATGAGAATCTTTCCTTGTTTGGTAAATTTAGACACTACCAAACGAAAGAATCAAATCGATATTGCTAAAAATAGATACATACAAACATTAATTTTCACAAATGCCATTGCGAGGAAATATAAAATAAGATAAAATCAAATTTTTCTTTATTTATAAAATGCAAAAAACTTGTCCTTACAATGCAAATACAAATTAATTAAACCTATGTTACTACATATTTCTAAGAAATCTATCATAACTCCTAAGTAGCAGCTTAAAAATCCATTCATCAAACCATGCGATCGAAATCCATCTCTTCGCCATCAGACTCAACATGCTTTTCCTTTAAGCTTCCTTTCTATTCATTGATCCTACGAAACATCAAAATGCAATCTCATCACATCATGTATTAAGAATCTAAAAATAGGAACTTAATAGAGTTAAATAGTGGACTTACTTGAAGCAGAATCAAACATTTTGACTTTACCATCCTTGTGGTCCTTTAGGTAGATATGGAAGCTTCACATCCAGTTGTAGTGACATAAGAACATGGTTTGGCATGCGGAATTAAAGCTTGCACAATTGAACATGGTGATTTGGGTGTTTAAGAGATGCGTTGATTGTATATGGTGTTACAAAAAGGATCTAGATCTAGACTACATAAATAACACACAGTTACACACTCACTTTTATATCTCTCAAGCACACCTCTACAAGTGGTATGAACCTACTATTTATAGAGGTGTTTACATGTCTCTCTCTCACTCTCTATCTCTCATGTGTCACAAGGCTAATACTCCACATGCAAGTGGGTTTTACAAAAGTCAAACATTATAAAGTTATTCATGGAAAATTTTGTACCCTAACATTCTCTCCCTCAAAGTTAGGAATGAATGACCCACTTTAAATCTTCCAAATTCGAGCAACTACGCGGTCCGAGCCTCAAAGGTGACACATGTCGACACGAACTTTAATCTTCAATTCTTCCATGATTCTTCAATTTAGGCTCTAGGATGTGAGACAATACAATCCGAGCAACAACGAATGATCAAGAGTATTCCAAATTCCATATAATCACCCTAAAGTTGCACATAAAAACACAACCCAAAAATATTCAATGAAACCAAACCCATTTCAAATACATCACTTCCGAACTTCCAATTTGCATCATCTTGTACGCTTCAAAACTTCAAGATCACTTCGGTCTTCAAATCCGCGTAATATGAAAAATTCAAGTTCGAATTTCCATATAAAACTTCTCCCCCTTTTTATAATCGAAATTTGATTATAAAACTCCAAGGAAAAAGAACGTGCTCTATTCGGATTTTTCGTGTCAAAACTCCCCCTTAACATGTGGCATAAACTTTGTGCTTCAATCCGGAAAACCCAAAAAATATTCAATTTTATTGTCGTTCACGGATTGCCTTTGACAAAATTTCTCAAAAATGGGTAGAAATTGTCAATTTCAAAATTATGCAGTGACCCGTTGCGCCAAATACAGCCAAAAATGCGAAACTGTAGCCCATTTGCGAAACCGGGCATAAAGCGTAAATTCGCACAAACTGTAGGGACCAGAACTGAAAATTCTGCAATTTCTCAACTTTTATTACCCATTTGCGAAATTGGGTATAATCTAACAAAATTTTGAACTGTAGGGATTTATTTTGAAATTTCTACATTCTTCACAAACTTATACCATCAATTTGATCTAGGACCATTTGTGTCATTTCGTGAAAAGATCAGGGACCCAATTCGAAAATATTTGTTTTCTTCTTCAATGAACGAATTATAACAGGGAACGCTTCGCACGTTGTCAAATTCTTCGCATACTGAAACATGGATGCGAACGAAACACTTTGACCTTCAAACCCAATCATCTAATTTAGAATACAAAGCCTTCGCATCTCTAACTCAACTAACCCCAAAGAACAAATTGTGACCTTATGTGCAAACATTCTTGACCTTACATGCGAATTGACCAAAGTACCTTATGCGAACCCGATTTTGATATTCACTGCCTTTGCTACAAAAAATTTCTCATTGATTTCATTCACTCATATGCCAAAATCCAACCCCAATCATCTTCATATGCGAACTCAATTGAGACCCAAATCACGACTATGGAAATTAATCAATTCTGACTTCGCATCGATCGACAACAACATACATTGACTATCGATTCGC